TTTTTTAAAAAAACATGTTCCCCTTCCACTCTCTCTCTCTCATCTAGAACTCTTCTCTAGTTCCCTTCCTTACAGCAGGCATTGCTGAAGGCCAACGCCAGCTAGCTGTCTCGCCATAAAACCACCATAGTTATCTTCTCCTTCTCCCTCTCTTCCCAACGCTTCCCTCTCGAGTCTCGATCCTTGTTGACACCTTTCTCCCCAACTGAAGAAGCAACTTCTCAAGTAAGAGATAGTTTTACCATCGAGATCGACCACGCATTTGGGCGAGGCATACGCAAAATTGAGGCCAAGGTCAAGGAGATAATCAATTGCGTAGTAATAAAAATCCCAATTCAAAGTCGGACATACATGAAACCGAACCCTAATTAAAAGCTGCAATTTAAACCCCCCAATGTGCCAGGCTTCAAATCGCGATGGACGACCACATTCCGGTGGCAGGTGTCGAGGTCGGAGAGAATCTGCATCATCCACCGCTTGACCTCGCCGGGGCAGATCCCTCCTTCTTCTTCCCTTCCCAGTTGACTGCCGCCAAGTCGATCCTAAGGAATTCAAGGACGAGAACATTGGGGCTGTCCGATCGACCGACTTTCCTGCGGCAATCGGCCGCCTCCCCTGCGGCGGCCTTACGTCCACCTCCCCTGCCCGGAACCTTCTTTCTCTACCCTTGTCCGTGGTTTCCCTGTCCGATCTGCGTCTCCCCTGGCCGATCGAGACCGACGTCGGTGCCTCTAGAAGTGAAGAAAACAAGCACACACGAAGAGAGAGAACGACAAACCCCTTCTTTTTTTGCCCGATCTGTTTCTAGGGAAAAGTTAATCTGCTAACTTGAAAATTCGTTAGCAGATACTAACTGATATCCAAAATACGTGAATTAGTATCCAAGTACTAAAATATCTAGAAAACACAAACTAGTATTCAAAGTTGGCTAACTGATATCCACCATGAATCAACTATTATCCCAAATTCACAAACTAATATCTAAACAACACAGAATAGTATCCATACATAACATAAATAGTATCCATACAACACATAAGAGTATCCAGATAACACATAAGAGTATCCATATTGAATACTAATTGGTTGGTTGTGGATATTAGTTGGTATCTGCTATCTGGATACTAGTTTGTGATGTTTTGAATACTAGTCTGTGCTATCTAGATACTCAACAGACTTGGATATTAGTTCATACATTTTGGATATTAGCTAGTATATACTAACGAATTTTCTAGTTAGCAGAATAACTAGGCTGCTGTTTCTTTACTTGGTCTCACTAAAGTCAAAAACTTTTGTCAATAAAAATAAAAGTAAAGTAAAATGAAATACAGAAAGCGGGTCTCTTAAATTGTTGGGTATGTGGCTGACTAGGCAGTCAAAATTACATGTTTCAGCCTCTGTCAGCTCCATCAACATTTTCGTTTGCCACGTCATAAAAAAATATGACAATGTTAACGGAGTTTGACGGAGATTATCAGGGAGTGACCAATGGTGAAACGAATCGTAAAGTTAGTGGCTAATATGAAAGAAAAGTAATTCAGGTGGCAAACGAGAAAGATTTATATAATTTGAGTGACAATTTAGCCTATATATAAGAATATAACCAAACAATGGTTTCTTGATTTCCAAACAAATTAACAAACAACCCATCAATGAGAATACCAAAAACTAGTGGTATGGTAACGAACAAAAATTTGATTTAGTGATAATATCACTAGCTAAAAATCTAGAGGTCTCACATTCGAATCCCTTAAATACAGTGCTGTCAAAGCCGAACCGAGCCGGCCGGCCGGACCGCCAAAGCCGCCGCCCGGCCGTAAAACCGGCTCGGATCAGCTATTTAACCGCCACGATTTTATGCAGCGGCCGACGAGCGGCCGAAGCGGTTAACCGCTTAAGTCGGTCGCGCGGTTCGGCCGTTTGGTTTTCCCTAAAAAAAAAAAGGCCAATCGTGGAATGGGGCTGCCAAACAAAACCCTAACTTTCATTTTATTTCTTCATCTTCGACCTAGAAGTAGAACAGACGACAGAGGGAGAGCGGCGCCACCTTGCCGCCGTCAACCATCGCCCCAGCGCTTCCGTCCCCGTCGCCGCAATTACTGGGTATTTGATTAGTGGTGGATCTAGTAGTCGTTTGTCTGATCTTGACGTGATTAGCGTAGATTTTGAGATTTGCTGATAGGGGCAGCTAGTTTGCTTACGGAATGGACTGCTGGGGGATTAATCGATTAGATACCGATGACTGTTGTGGTGGTTTACCATGATTAAGAAGTGACTACTATTTATACAGATGACTGTTTATTAGGTACCGGTTCTCAAACGGTCTAATGCCGGCTGGACCACTAATGACCGAGCCGTTCACATTACCGGGTCATACTCCGGCTCGGCTTTGACACCATTGCTTAAATAGTACCTTAATAGTAGGGGGGAAAACCTATACCATTATCCAAAACTAGTGGTATGGTATATCAAAATTCGTTGAAGGGCTTTGAGTGATTCGTCTAGAATCCATACAAAAGGCCCAAGGCCTACAAGTCATATCAAAAGCCCAAGTTTCTCTAATCTTCTCATGTTGACCCAAACCTAACAGCCCAAACATATGAAAACACCTTTCCTTCCCCCAAAGGCCCAACAACAGATAATATCAACGTGAGGATAATTATGTAATCTCCCGCTTCTTCCTCCCTATCCCTAAGCCCGCTGACCGAGGGCCGCAACGGCGGCTCTGTAAGGTAAAGTGGGATGTGGTGGGCCCGACCTGTGGGTCGCGATTCGTGGAACGTGCGGTGCCAGAGAGTTCCCGTGTGTTGTGGTGGGCCTTTGGGCTGAAAGGTCCATCAACTTAACTGATTTATTAAAACTGCTTTACCCGTCAATTTACTTTATTAATGGATTGTCTAATCATGATCCACACTCAGGAATCAGGTAAGACCCACAAGTACATTACACAAACACAACTTGTTCTTCCACTCCTTCCTGCTGATTCTCACTCATCCCAATTCCCATCCTTCTCAAAACTATGGATTACTTCGAATATACCTTCTTTTTAACCTTTGATTAGTTAATTAATGTTTGTGGATCCAAATTTGTAGGTGGATGATTGTACTTAATATCATAATCAAACTTAATATTTGAATAAAATCATGTAAAATGGACAAACCAAATCACTACTGATCACAAGGCACACCTTGTTGCCGAGTGATTTAACAACTTGCCAACTAGCTCTTCGGGTCGACGACTTATTACCTTGATATAGGTTTTGTTAACAAACAGTATGATTTGTTGGCTCACATACACCCTCAGCGATGAACGTTAGAGCAGATCATCCCAATGTGTTTTGCACCAACAACTTCCTGCGTCTGAAGTTATGCATCAGAATCGTTCAACTCGATCGATCATCCCCTTGATTATACGACCTTGGATTGGTAGGACATGGACTAATTAAAGATCATTGTGTACATATGTGTTATTAAAATGCGTAGTGCTTGATTAGGTTTAATTTTCAAAGGTGGTGGTGAAAGGAGGAGTGGGGATAGTAAAGCATAAGGTGGGTTATGGTTATCAGTACTGTTGGTAATGGATTGATGCCTTTATTCTCCCATCAATATCATCTTCCCCTCCCTGTTCTTTTACTCCTTTTCGATTTCATTTGTCATTGTCATATTTCAAGGAAAATTATTCAATTTTAATATCAAATAAATGCTGGATCAACATTGTTTAGAAGAAGTTATCAATCATCGAGTTTAATTTTATCGTGATCATTTGGTATTAAATTTAAAGTTTTAATACAAAATCACTGATTCTCATATTAAATCTGATCCCTTATCCAATAATAAAAATAAGATTAAGGGTTAAGACTTAAGAGAACAAATATGTCAAAAACAATACTTACCTATCATGCATCCAATGTTAGGTTTAGAAAGATCCAAATGAGAGGGGGCGAAATAATGAATCTGACAAAGACATTTGCCCTTCTAGCTCTTACTGATCGAAGATATCAATGAAACAAAACAATAATTATTGCTTGTAGATAGACCTCAAACCGTACTACTCTTCGTTCTTTTCAAGCTGTGAAATCCAACTATAGTTAGTAAAATACAGTACGAGTAAGTTACGTCTAATTAAAATAGGTGTGGTTGTTTTATTTCTGTCTCTAAATTAATGATACACTTAATAAAATATATTAATTCACTATCACTTGCTTATTTTCGATTTGTACATGGAAGTGAAGAAGCAGAAGAGAGGTGGGGAAAAAGCCTAATTAGGATATGATTACGATAATGGAGCCAGGGGTCATGTCGTTTTCTTATGGTAGGGTTGCCCTCCCCTGCCTTCCAAACACTTCTTTCATTTTTTGTTTTTATTTAAATATATTTATGATGCGATTTTATCTGCATTACAAGGTGTTAATCTGCAGTAGGGAAGAAGGGTTGTTTTCTTAGTTCTCAATCACTCACTTTTCCCCCCCAGGAATTTGCAGCCCCCACGCTTCCTCTCCAATCCTTATCCACCATGGAATGGAATTATGTCGAAAAAAAAGCTGTCAATAATACGACGTCGACGAAGACAAAGGCTTGGGAGGAAGAGAGGTGTCACCCTAAAGCAGAAGCCTCAGTCAGACATAGGGCGCCCCACTCCCTCGATAGTAAGCTAATACCTAATATCACCTAATCTCATCATGGTAACTCTCTGACGCATTTATACTTGATCGTCAAAATTCTCAACGAACCTCAAACCAAAAGGCCAAAACAAAACCAAACCGGATCGAGGTCAAGGGTCGGATAACGAGTATGCAGAGTTAGCAGCAGCATTCATTGGCACTACAGATAGCAATAGATCATAATAAGTCCTGACCAGTACAGGATCAACAAACAGCAACCATTCCTAGCACAACATCAAAAGAAACCACAATTAGTCCTCCTAATTCACCACAAACATCATTAATACCATAGCAACATCACATTCTAACCTAATCCATCGATTCCCAATAAGACAATTGACACCTAACCAAGCTGTGAAATATCATTCACTTCTTTCCTGTACAAAGACTACTTGGTGTTACTTGTTACACAAGTGTACATGTACAGAGGAGTATCCCATAAGCTTTTACACAAAGCTTCCTGTGTTGGTATACACATCAACCAAACATCTATACCTGCATTATACATATATACAGTTCTCAGTACTGGGTTACTTGCTACCCATCATTCCTACAATACCCTAGTAACTTATATCACAAAAGGGAAAAGAGACTGCATATATAAGACTGACCACCAGCTCATAATTATCAGAGCATCATCACTACTACCCTTGCTAGCTGAATATATTATATACAACCCAGACAGCAAAACTATACCAACTCCTACCGTATGTATTTATCTGTGTATAAGGTTACTGCTTCACTACACACTACTACCAAGTGCTGCATGGAAACAACCCTCCTCCCTGTGGTTTTATCTTCCTAGCATATTGGAGGAAGGCTGTCAAAATGGGGCGCGATGAGGTATGCCCTTCCTCCTCCTGGCATTGCGATGATTGAAGATAGGGGGAGTCGATGGGGAAATGTTGGTTGCAGCTTCATCACCTGAGCTGTCTCTTCCATCGCCGCTGTTGAAAGAGTGGATGGATAGCCTGTCCATCATGCGATTGAAGAAATTCGTCCTCCGAATCTTCTTGGGAGTGGACGATTCATAGTCATCGTAGTCATCAGAGTCGAAACCTCCGAGGAAGTGATCTCTGTGGTTGTGCTTATTCAGAAGTGAGAATGTGAGGGTTCGATCTCCTCGCTTCATGGCTCCCAGCTGATAGAGCAGGATAGGTACCACATTTCATTATTTAGCATGGGAAGAAGAACAATCTGAAGATGAATCAAAAGAATGGGGAATTGATGGTGATTGGGAAATGGGAACCAACCTTGCAGCCGAGAGAGCAGAACCGGAAGGAATCGAGGAGGCTCCTGCAACATATCTCGCAAGTGTTGGTAACCCCTTTTCCTGGCCTAGGCTGCGGCCTCTCGTTCAAGAACACAATCTTGGCACTGTTGATAATGTAGGTCTGGACGCAGGCAATGTCTATGTACTTCTGTATCTCGTTCACTCTCACCACGTTATGGTAAGAAGATCGTCGAATCTGCAGGAGCAAATAGCAAGGGGGAAAAAGAACCACCCCACACCCATTAGTTCTACAATCAATCAAATCCCCAAAGAAAGGGTAGAACACATTATCATCAATTCATCACCAAACCTGAACAATACGGTGGTCTCTGTGATTGATCAAACAATACGAGCAGAGAGCACTCCCGGTACAGTCCAAACAGAACATGTTGCACTCGCTCTTGTTGGAATCGCCATGGAAAGGGCAGGGGTGGAAGTAGCTCGCTCTCAGCATTGGTTTCAACCACGCCGGCCCTAGGTCCCTGTGGCCGCCGCCGCCGCCGGCCATTTGGTGGTCGATTGGACTCACCTGCAACAAGAACAAAAAACATCAAAACCGCCACAGTCAAATTTCAGCACTACACTACATCCCACAAACAATGAAAGAAACGAACTCAAACCCTATACAGGACTGAGACGAAAACAGAGCCCAAGATCAGAAATGAAAAGGGGAAGTAATACAAACCATGAACGAAGGCGGGAATATCTTCGATTTCTCAATGACCAGTAGTAGCAGCTACGATCTACAAGCCCTGAGAGAGGAGTAGATGAAATGGACACACAACCCAAATGAGAAAATTACAGAGGAAACCAAGCAGCAGCTGAAAAAGGGTACAATCAAAATCAGCAACAAACAGAAAAGGGTATCCAAATGAAAAGCAGGAAGAAAGAGAACCTTCAACAGGAAGAAGTCGGCCGCAACGAAAAGGCTGCGACAATAATGGCGCAATGGGAAGAAGAAGAAGAGAAAAGGATATGGCAGGCAGGGGAAGAGGCAGAGTAAGAAGAAAAGGAGCGAAACAGGATAGACGCAGCAGTAGTAGTGTATTGTCACAGTTTCCAGAAACCAAATTCTTATGCAAGAAAGAAAGTAAATAAAAAAAATCTTTTTCCTCCTTTTATTATTTAATTTTTCCTCTCTTGGCTGCCGATTGATGTTACAAAGGCAGAAATAAAGTCGCATTTTTTTAATTAAGGCGGTCGCCGAAACAACGAACCAGCAAAGCGTCCCCACAAAATGAGAACCCCTAAAAATGCCCCCATCTTCACTTAAATAAAATAAAATTAAAAAAAAAGAGTAGTTTTTGGAATGAATAAAAATGGAAACGTGCCACCTCCGACCACCGCTGATATCATCGGACGGACAGTAATTAAGGATAGACTTGACACTAAGCAGAATGCTTCTATCCCAGAAGATTGACAAATTTCCACCCTTGGAAACAACGACCTTCCTTGCAGAAATCAGAATCACGTCACGGTAGTTATTATTATTATTAATTGATTTCACAAGTTTACCAAGTTAACTTGCTGGGCAAGTCAGCAGTTTGTCCCTTTCTCCCCAGTTTCCATCCCTTGCCGCCGCCGGTGACAACAGACTTCGTCGACAGACTTCCACGTCACGATACCTCCTCGTTCACACGGATGGCCGCCAGGGCTTACCGTGGAAAAGAGATGACGAAGCGCCACTGGAATCAACGCTTGTCACTCTAACATTTCCTAACATCAACGTAAACATTCTTTTTTTTTTTGGTAGAATCAACGTAAACATTCTTATGTAGGACAAAGAAACAACACGTCGTTCGTTGGATAGCGTGGTTTCAACGGCGTGGCTAATTTGGCATCGGAATAAAAAATAAAAAAAGGCCATGAACCTAAGAGAGATGACAACATTCTTACTCGGCTATTGAAATGACCCGAGAGACAGAAACAGAGAGTTCATGAGTGCGACATAGAGAACAATCCACCACGTCAAACAACGAAAACCATCCAACAACCGTTTCTACTCGATTCGTTTTTTCATACAATGCAAGAACAGTGATTTTAGATGATGATGATGATGGATGGTGCCAGATTAGATCGTCAATCATCTGCCGTGGTGGCGGCGGCCAGGAGACGGGTTGGGAGACCTTGATCTAGAGCCTGATGGGGATCTCGAAATGGCCGCGGCGGCAGGCCTTCTTCCAGGTGAAGCTGCTGGCCTCCTCCAAGCTCTTTCGTCCTCCAAGCCATGAACATGTTTCCTGGAGCGGAAAATGTGGTTTGGGTGTTATTTCAACGACCAGATAAGGAAGAACGTTGACAAGGCTGAAAACCCAGCATCCACTTACTCGGTATAGCCGTTTCCCTTGTTGTCTACATTGTCAGGGTTGCCATAACCCTGTGGGGAATATGATAGCCTGTCGCGGCCGCCATCTCGTTCAGGGGGAGGAGGACCTCTGGGAGATGGAGAGCGAGATGGAGATCGAACTGGAGGGTTAGGGTGCCTCCTGCCTGGGGAAGGCGAGTAGTCTCTGCGGTTTCTTGGAGCAGGAGGAGAGTAGGACCTAAACACAAGTTGCAGAAACATGTTTATATCCCAGACAATTTGTTCAATGTGCAGAGGCGAGCTATATGTGAGCACAAGAGTTGCCAACCTTGAACGGTATCTAGACCTTGATCCGTGATGGTGAGGAGAGCGTGACCGAGACAGCGAACGAGATCGAGAGCGCCCTGAAATTATTATGCCAACGATTATTTGACATGAATAAATAACTTCCCTGTGGGCGAATATCTAACACAGTGGCATGCAGCACAAGATAGACGATGCAGAAAGATTGAGAGGCAGGATTAGATTCAAACCCCAACTTTTGGGTAATACAACTAAAGAAGGTACCGGCATATATACCATAATAAGATGATCTTTCCCCGCGGCCCCCTCCCCTGCAAGATGTTTCGAAACTTGGATGAATCAGACAGAATACCACTTGTGAAAAAGTAATATGCTTGCAGGAGATCGTGGTTACCTAGTCCGAGTTCTATGTCGCATATCCTCTGGCCTTTTCCTGGACTCTGCTGCAACCACAACAGTAATCTCCCTGCCAGCAAATATTTGTCCATTCATGCGACGCTGAGCTTCAAGGGAATCATATGAATCCACAAATTGCACAAATGCAAAGCCTCTGGGTTCCCTATGAAAAGAGCAACAAAATATAATTATAAGGCTAGAGAGTCGATGCACAACCAAGCAAGATTTATCTAATGATGATAAGTGAACTTCATGGAATGAGATTCCTAATCCATAACTCAAGCATTTAGTTGTTAGTATACCTTTCTTCTGCCTCCAGTGCACTTACAAATATGATGACACTGAACTCACATAAAAGCAGGATAGTGGCTGACCTCTTCCTTAAAAGTCAAGTACCAAAGCCAACTTGAAAAGATGCAAGTCACTGGTATTTTCTTCAAATGCTGGTAAAATAAGATGGACTTCGACCAACTTGAAAAGATGCAAGTCACTGGTATTTTCTTCAAATACTGGTAAATACATGATGACCTGGCCTTCGACCAATGTTGCCAATCTAAATCTCTTCAAGTCGTCTTCAGACGGCCAAGAATAAATCCTCTTTGCTCATCAAACCTCTATTGTTTGGTAATTACAAAATTTCTCTTCATAAAGGCACATTCTTCATTTCGACATTATCTTGAGTTGAGACTTGAGACCAATATGTTAGGTAATGTTTAACAGAAGGTCTTCAACATTTGTGGGGCTTGGTCTTGATTTTACTTCAAACCAACAACCCCCCTGACAAACCATTTAAAATCCAGTGCACCATGAAAATGAAAATAATGAGCAAAATCATTGCTTCAAGAAATTTTCATGAGTAGTACACGCATAAGAGATGCAAGAAACTGCCTACAGCAGTCCAACAATGATCAAAAGCATCCACCCACTACTAACATTGCATGTGAGAGTTTTCGTAGTTTATTACTCAACACCAGACTTGACACCGACTAGCTTGCATGACCAAAAATTATATGCATCCCCGTAGGATTGATCCAAATCCAGCTAATTACCAGGAGTAATTTTTATAACTGTTTTCAACTTTGTTTTGAACGATTTTAACAGATTGTTGTTGGTTCTCTGACTCAGAACATGCTACCCCATGGATTTACTTAGTTGACCTTTCCTCTATCCGTTAAGATGATAAAATAAACGAACCATTTAAACCTGTGTGCAATGGATCCAACTGAGAGAGAAAACCAGCAAAAAACCAGCAATGTCACCATCGTAAAAACTCACCCTGTGTGAAAGTCCTTTGGAATGTAAACATCCCTTAGAGCCCCAAAACGCTGAAATGCAGCCTTAAGCTCTTCTTGGCTGCAAAACACCAAACAACTCCAACAAATGAGCAAAATGACTCTCAAACAAGGGCTCCAACAATCATTAGCTCGAAAGTAAAACTCACCCACAATCAAGAGGAATGTTACGGACCAAGAGGCTGCCTTGGTTGTCCTTTCGCCTACCATAGCCTCCACCTCCACCGCCACCGCCACCGCCACCGCCTCCTCCACCACCATAACCTCTCCTGGGTGGACTCCTCGGTCGACCTCCATATGCCCTCCTTGGAGGGCTATAGTACTGCGGGCTGTACCTCCTCATAAGACCACCTAGCCATTAGATTACCAAGATTCATATTAGCCCACCAGATACCCAGCAATAGTTCGCTTCATAGAAAGCTTTCCCACACTGGCAAAAATGAAAACAGAGCATCGATCTGGTATTCGGAGTACAATAGCTCATCCGAGAGTTCTATTTCAGCAGCGAACCGACGAGCTAGGGCCTCGAACATGTTTTGGCCAAGCAGCTGATTACAGCGAAGCCTTCGTAAATTCAGAGATACCTGTAGACTTGTAATGAAGGCTGCAACGATTCCTGGAGCACGAGGCGCGCCGACGAAACTACTTCGGTGTTCTTCTTCTTCGTCTTCCTTTTTCTACCTTCGATTTTGATCCCCTTCCCGACTGACTTCGAGAGCAGGCGAAACTGAAATGTTGCTGTCTAATGGCGGTCGGGGGAACTGATTGAAACGGTTGTTTTAAACCCTAGGTTTTGAACTTGGATCCGATATTGGGCTGGGCCGTCTCGTTTCTATCGACAGATGCAAACTTTGTACGAGAGCCGAATTTTGTCTGGGCTTTGGCTTCAATTGTCTGATGGGTCCAACTAGTTGGCCCTTTCAGTTGTAGGGGATGGGTCAGATTGGATCAGGTTTCGCCGAATCCAAACTAGCGAATACATTCGCAAACAAAAATTCAGCAACATACATATTAATTCATGGTGGCTACTTCGGTGCAATCACTTTTTTTAGTGCATTCATTGCATCCACCTCTAAAAGTGGTCATAATAAATTAAATTTTGAAATTTAATGAGTTGCATTAGTCTAAGATGATGATATAACACAACATCACAACTAATCAACCCATTACCCTAACCTATTAACCTTCAATTTTGAATCTCAACCCAAAATCCCAAATTGTAAACCCTAACCTTAACCCTAAATTCTTAAACCCTGAATCATTCAAATTAAAGTGAATCTTGAATGATTTTTGTACAAATTCATATGGTTCTTGTTCATCATACCACAAGTGATGATTGAAATCGTTTTCACATGAATTACATGCTCAGAATGACGATTATGAGGCGGGTGCATTGAATGCACCCAAAAAAGTGAGTGCATTCTGGTGGAAGACATGTTATGGGACTAAATGATTTCATTGCCTCGGGCCCGACTGTGAATTTCAGTCTCTGGTGGAAGACATGTTATGCTTTCTGAGCACCCCCAAACCCATATTATCCTCTACGTTTGTGTAGTATGGAGAATCTGGAAGTCTCGAAATAAGGTGGTGTTTGAGCATTTTCAGCCTCATGCCCAGTCTCTAGCGCGTCAATGTTTTTTCCAAGTCCGTGAAGTTTCCTCCTCTCTGCCCTTAGTGCCTACCCCTCCCCCCCACCCTCAAGGTCTCGCCTCCCCTCCTGGATCCCCCCTCCTGATGGCTTCCGGAAGATCAATTTCATTGCGGCGGTTCGTGCTCCAGGGTGCTCGTCTGGTCTTGTGGTTCGTGGTACAGACGGGCATGTGGATTTGGCAGTAGGATTTCAGCACCTCTACATTGCTGACCCTTACCTCGCAGAGCTTCTGGCAGCAAGGGACGCCATCGCCCACTTGGTCTCCAAAGGCCTTCCTCGTGTCATCATCGAAGGAGATTCAGAAGTGGTTATCCGCCAGCTTCATCAGGGAATTTCTTCAGATTCCATTGGAGGTCCGGTGCTTCGGGATTGTCTCCTGCTCCTGTCTTCAGTTTCTGGCTCCTTAGAGTTTAGTGCAGTTCCCCGGTCTGCTAACAGGGCTGCCCATAGAGTGGCGCAGAAAGCCCTGTTACTTTCTCCTCTTGAGCTTTGTTCCTTCGACTTTGTTGGTTGGCTTCACTAATGTATTTGGTCGGGAGGGTTTTGGGTAGATTGTATAGTTCTCTCTATTTGACATTTCTTGGAAAAAAAAAAAAGACATAACCTTAATTCACATGATCACTCACATAGTCACATTCCTGTATGGTTAAATAACATATTTGGTCGTTGAGATTACTAATTTTGCTTCATGTTTGTCACTTAATTTTTTTTATTCTGTTTGATATGATTCCAAATGGCCAACTCTACACGTTTTTATTACTTGCCGAAGAAGCTATCAAAGTTGGGAAGAAGAAGCGCAGAATTTGGCTGTGTCATTTTCCGAGTTCATGGTACCTACTTTGGAGGCATGGTTCTCTCAATTAGCTTGGTGGGAATTCAAGTTTAGGTGCTTGTTTTAAAGATAAAGTTGTCATCTTCCAATGATATACTTTTTAGATCCAGGAGAAGTCATTAAGGTTGTTTTCCAAGGCCTCAAAGTTGCTACCTCAAAACTGGAAAACT